GGTGGATGGTTCGAGTGTGGGCTGCCTGCTCAGCACAGGAAGCTCATCAATTCTAACAGCAAATCAGCCATGTTTACGGCAAGCTACAAATTAGATAGAAGTCACGGTCCTACTTACACTGAAAGTATCACATCGATTTTGTGGTCTTAATCTTCACTGTTACTTCATGACCATATCATGTATCTTTTTTGCATAAAACTAGAATTCTTGCATATTATTTGCATAATTTTGCCTTGATACCTTTAAACTCAAGGTATTCATCAAACTCATGGTTGTTTCCTGAAATCAATTTTAGTATGAAATTAAATACATAACCTTCCACTGCATGTGTACACAGTGTCATACATCATCCTTTCATTGATTGGCAGCATGATTGGTTAGTTCTGGCTGTTTCTGCACAGGAAGAGGCACATATATTAGAAGCTCAAATTTGGTGGCAGATGGTGGAACTGTGCGCTCTCTCGAGAGGGGGCAGCCAGCTGGCCTCTCTGTGCTACCACAACGGGATGAGAAGGAAAGTTCCCTTTCAATGAACAGAACATATTCATCACACATTATTCTTTTACACTTTCATATTTTGCTTGCTTTATGAAATTGTGTCATTACACTGAAGAAATCCATTGTTTAGATTTAGGGGACATGTTGTGTATGTAAAATCAGAACCTACAAGTGCTGTTGGTCATTTATTGTTTTGGGAGATGGCAGCGTCACACTGAATGAAATATCTTAAAGCAGCATCTTGTTGCGGACAAAATTGCTTTTAAGTGCATTGTGCATTGTGCTGCTGCAGATAAAAAGGCAGTGCTGGGCCAATCACACTATGTAAGTGTAGGAATAATTGAGCACCATGTCCATCTCATTGCCCATTAAGACACTTCTCCATAGCATGCAAAATAAGTTTGAAATTCCATTGATTAGAGTCTTCTGAACTCAGCACCTTTAAACAATGAGGTGTCCACACAATCCTATTAACTTAATGAATTACCTTTTTCCATTTGGGAATAATCCAAACTTGTAAAATGTGCCTGAGCCAGTCAAGGTTAATTGGGCATTTAGCTCTGGGGTGGCCCTTAGCCCCCCGGAGGAGCATGTCCCCAAACAGAAAGAGGTGCTGCGGTTAAAAGTAGCTCAGTGACCCCTGTATCACCTGCACACATGCCTTTACCTCACCATACTACTTCACGTAAATATATAACATTACTTTTTTGGTTCAGTTCTACTCCAAATCTCAGTGATCCTTCGAAAGTATTGGAGAGGTGTTTTCAAAGCCATTTTGTTGTGTGTGTGTCCCCTTCTTGACAGAGACAGATGGAGTGGGAGCCACCAGATTTACCAGAGGAAGCAGTTTATAGAATATCGTCAGGGGAGAGAAGGCAGTTTCTGAAATACAACTTTCAACTCACAGCCATCAATCTCACCAGTGGCTGTCGAGATCAAGCAGCCAACACAGCTAGTTTGTTAGTGCGCACAGAAGAAATGTGTTATTGTCTGCTATTCTCAGAGCTCCCAGACAAACAGGCACCAGAGGATCTCAGGGTACGGAGCTGAGGAGGAGGTAAAGGTGAAGCTGCCGGTCATTACTATGCAAATAAACTGCCCCATTCTGTCAATCACACCATAAAAGTAGGCCAGGGGAACTCAAGGTCCTGTGTTAATGAACAAACTGGAGCTGCTCAAATGCAGTCTAATAAACAGGAGAGGTGACATTTTAAACATGCCAAAAGTGTCATCATATTCCCCTGGTGTAACGTAGGACTCCAGCATATACGAATACTAAACACTGTTCTGCTTTTGATCACAAGGATCAATTTTAAGTCAAGCTTCAAAATGATAAAGAAATAAGAAACTAGAGCAAACAACTTTGAGACAGTTACAAAGTCACTCCAAAATCCTAAGACCTTTAGAAATCTGAGATAGCAGAATTAATTTAATTAGGTGATCTAATTGTCAGACCTTTGTTCAAATGTGTTATACCTTCACAATTTCTGTTTAAAAATTATAAAACTAATTTTCTGAAGCTGAATCGATTTGTCAGGATATCAGGAATCAGGATAATTCAACAGTCTCAGGACTCTCTGAACACACACACACACACAAAAGAATAGATTGTAATTTGAGTCAAAACACAGGTTTTGCAGTATTTACATTAGCACCTATGACCTGGTATTTTCCATTAAGCAAAACCAAAACCAATGATCTTTGTTTTTTTCAATAAACATTGGACTCACACCTCTACATCAACACTAATTTGGTATGCAACATTTCCATAATTACAATTTTCTGCTTTAGAATTACAAACACGACAAAGAAAAAACGTTTTTGCTGTTTATGAAAAACCAAAATGTTAAAATATAACCCTACTATTTCTCATATATTTCTATCATGATGCCTCAGTTGTCTCCCTGTCACCTCCAAAACAGTATCACATATTAAACCATGGAAGATCTACAGATGATGCCTCCTTTATCACGGATATGATTCTTCTATTTTCAGACGTTTTGTGCTATAGCTGCTGGGATTAAGCTGACTCCCTGTGCCTGAAGCTCTCCCCTTGTTAAAACAGGGTGAACGTGTCAGATATGGGCCTGCTTTATCCAGTTAACATTACAGCACTCACACTTCAGCAGCTGTTAACAAGAGCCTAGAATAACAACAGCTTTGAGGTGTTTATGTGGCTCTGTCTACAATTATCAGGAGAGCTACCTGCCAGGTTCTGCCTCATACTCAGGCAAAAGGCTGTTCACTTACAACAGTGTTCCTTTCTGTCATTAGTGTTTTTGCATATAGCCTAGAGGAAAGCTTGACACATGACTCCAACACTTTGTGACATGCCTTCTTTTCTGTATAATTATATTTTATTTTATAGTCAGAGAGTAATTGAAATGCTCGGGCTCTGATGGACAAGGTTTGTGGGGTTAGGGCTGAGAGATTTCTTTATTTAATTGTATGTTAAAGAGCCTATATTACACTATTTTCTGATCTGTGTTATAATGTTGTTTCCTCATCACAAACATACTTGTTTCCTTCACACACGTTTAGCATACACATGCTGCATATTTGACTGGGTCTCTCTTTCAAACTGAAAATTCTCCACCTTGTGATGTGATGTGGTAATACAGAAAGTGCTCCACTGTGTTTTTAAACTCCATACACCTTCACTAAAATCATTTGGATGATTTCAACTTGGAATTGCCCATCTATAATCAACTAAAGGTTAATTTGCAAACTAGTGCTTCATGACATCACAAGATGGAACAGATCATTTTAAGCTTTGGAGATGAGGACAGACTAATAAAAAAGGATTGCTCTACTATCCACTCCATGTTTTTGATTATAACATGGCTAAAAGCTCACAAGAGTCATTTTGCGTAAAATAAGATCTTTAAACTATCATCAATAAAGTCCTGTAGAACAGTGCTGAAGCTAAAACAATAATGTGTAAAAACAACACTTGCTCTTTGTATTAAATATAGCTTTTTTAATGAGAAATAGATTATATGAAACATTCATTTGAAATAAGCTGATATAATCATCTCAACAGAACAGCAAAAAGTACATAGGCAATGTATGTATGTGTAAAAATCTTCAGTCAGACAGATCCATGGACACATGTAAGCAACACTGTGAGCATAAGCATAACACCATATGAAGAGATGTGCTTGTTTAATGGCCATCGCAGTCAATCCAATTGAGAACACACATTAAGTTTCCATGTTAAAAAGAGGGAATAATTAATGTGATTAGTGCCCAGTATCTTGTGTCAATTCACTGGAAATGGAGTGTATTTTATGAGTCTTTATAGTATTCCCTTTGATTTGATGCTTTATCATAATGTAGCAGAGCACTAACTCATTTCATATATACAGACATATTGTACAACAGCGGTGGACATTTCCCACTGTTAAAATCACCCTCTGTCATTTGAATGGCAGATCTCCCCGCATGCACAAACAAAAATGAAAAGTGAGTTTTGGACAAACAATGATAGGATGCTAAAGGAATTTCAGCGTCACTAGGTGTAACAGCTAAAGCCTTCCTCCAGTTTAAAACATGTTAAAGGGATAGATAACAGGCACTTAATAAGAACAAGAATAAAATGGAAATCTATTGGGTGGTTGGTGACCAGGTTAATCTTAAAGAACAACATCTTTGTTTAACAATACTTAATTTGATGGGGTTTTTTTTTTTTTTTAATTTTTTTAATGTTTGCACCTGGAAAGTGAAGCTATTGGTAGCAAATTATATGTCTGGAACTCAGATGTAAGGCTCTCTTGTTGAAATAGTCACCTTATACTAATACTGTCTCTTAGACTCATCATGTACATCCTAAAGTGCAGTGTTACCACCACATGCAACTCATGTTTTGTAAAAGTAAAGCACTTACTTTGAAACTGTGAGTAAACGATGCTGCAGTGTTTGCTGCCAAAGATACATTGAGGCTTGTTTGTGGCACAACACGGGAATCTGTATAATTCATTACAGCTGTATTTAAGTTTACCAAAAGGTGATTTTTGTTTGTTTTTTGTTGTGCTCTTGTCTGATATGAAGAGATAATGTGGAAAAAAAACAAACAGAACCAAACATGGCGCATGTTATGAGGTAAGCATGTAGTGAAATACTGGGGTTTGCCTCTCTGGACGGACTCAGGGGAGAGTATGGCTTTCAGTCATCGTGTAATGTGCCAGGATGATGAATGTTTACATTTTGCTCTTGGTGCGGGAAAGCTCCACAAATCAGCAGTCACAACATTACAGTTTGCAAAGCTGTTCAAAATAGCATTGATTGTTAAATTCTTCAGACCACAATATTGCACTCGCGCACCAGGAGGTACTGTCTTGTGAAAAACACAGCTTGTATCTCAAACACGAGAAGAAGCGCTCCAAACTGAAAAGATTCAACTCAGACTGTGTCAATCCTAAAAGGACACATTCAATTAGGAACAGCGAGAAGCGCCAAGCCAAAAGAAAATATGCAAACGCACAAACACACCCACACTCGCACACATATATATGTGGATATAAACAGCTGGCTTTGATATTCAACATGACTATGCATTACTGCCTTTTGTGTGCCTTATGTGTTTGGTAACTTACAAAGGGCAACATAGACTCAGATTTCAATTGAAGTTGAGTTTCTATTGTGATTATTTGGGCTATGTGATCCTTACATCATATAAACATTAATAATATTAAACAGTCCATCAGTTGGGAAACAGCTGAGTCGAAATAAAGGATATCTGGTCTGCCCCTGTTTTTTTTTCTTTAAAAATGTTTGTATTTCATAAGAATGGCAGTTTCAGATAAAACCTTTGATCCCTCAGAGTAAAATCAAGGCCTCTTTTCACCAGTAAATGGATTCATATTTTTTTCTCTTTTTAGTTTCTTTAGGGGAATGACAGACATGCTGGGACAAATATGGTACAGTCTTTAAAGTGGATCCATTATCTTCTTTGTCAGCCTCAACTGCTTTCATCACTGCATGTTCCTTTTTGTTTTAAGAATTATTCTTACAAAGTTAATATTACATCAAAAGGCAGAAAAAGTCCAAAAAGAACCAAAATTCAGATGAATATTCCCTTAGATTCATGTTTTTAGTCTATTTTGCTGTTAACCTTTAACAGAGTTTAGTTGTTAGGTGATCGGACTGTTTGAGTATCTCTGTACTGTACATGTCCAAGGCATGGTTCACACGGATCATCTCACTGTTGTTGAGCTTGAGCCGATGTTTGAGCATACAAGAGAAAAGGTCCAACTGGGGCTTCCCGGGTGCAGACGGAGGGGCAAGGCGGTTAATCCGATCTCTGATGTCCAGTAACAGGAGCATGACAGAGGAGGAGGAGTAGAACTGAGTTCCTTGTGTGTATGATTGGTTTACCTGCTGCACAGCGCTACGGAGCAGGTCTCCATTGAAGCGTAGACTGTAGCCAAACACCTGGATATCGGATATTTTGATATAAATCTGTCGTTTGTTTGGGTCGGCGAGGTCCACCGGGCCCTGGCCTGTGTCATTGCGGAGACCAGTGGGAATTTTGGCGCGACTACGCAGGTAAATGTGGACTGTCTCAAAGAAAGTCTTCCAGCGGTTTCCCAACAGCAGTGTCCAGTTGAAACACTGTGAGTTCTGCAGCCGCACTTTCTCCCATCGGGGATATCCATGCTCACCAAACGGCATGCTCCAGCCCTCCGAGTGGCTGCCACTGAAGGGGTTAACATACACAAAGAACATGGGGTCAATGCTGCTGTTTCGCATCTGGCAAATCTTCATTGATAGGCCAATAATCATGTGGAGGTAGTCCATGCGGTTCTTGTTACTTTTAAGAGTGAGGGACATGCGCTTACGCCACCGAGGGTCGAAGAAGGTCTCGAGGCGAATCTCATTGCTGATAAAGGTAGTGTGTATATAGAGACGAGAGTCCATCTTTTGGAGCAGGTACTTGAGCTCCAGGTCCTGGAAATCCAGGTCTGTCTCAAAGCTGATAAACTGCTCACTGCGCTCAGAGTCTACATTCTGAGGCTCACAGCGGCCGCGGTACAGCTTATAGCCCTTGTTACAGGAGCCACACTGTGAGATGTTGGCCAGACTGCACATGGCACAGCTGTTGTTGCCTCCGATGACACAAGGGATGGGGCGCTGGCACAGAGTGACCCCTGTGTGGCACACGCAGGTCCTCTGACTCTCCAGGAAGGTCCCCCAGAAACCATTCTCATTACAGTAGAGGAAGGACTGCACGCGGTTCAGCCACTGCATCACAGACCTGTGACAGAGACAATGGGTGTGAGTGAACAAAAACTTTATTAATATTACATTGTCTAAAGCAATAGTGTCACCTACAATAATCGATCATAATCACCCAGGTGCAGTCAGTACTGAGAAAGCCTGATCAAACATCTCTATACACATTGGTACTTCCTGTTAAATGGAACAATGATTGCATTAATTAACCATGCTATTCATGGAGGCCTGTTCTATCACTTTGAAGCTCAGGGCGAAGTTGGGCAGTTCCCCTAAAGCAGAGAAGTGTTGTTATTCAGCTCTAGTCTCCTCTGTTACCCTCAGGCCTGCCTCTTTCCTTGTCATCTTGACAGTATTGGAACTTCCTTTTGTGACTGTGAAGGTGAATTTTGAATCAGTATTTCAGAGCAGCAGACTGGTCAAGGTTAGCCTGACATGTTAATGAACCTCAGCGTTAACTATGATGGATGGCACAGCAATGGCCCAGAGCTGTAGCCAAAATCAGATTATCTCTAAAGGAACAATAGACCTTTGTTTGAACATTATTATTCTTAATAAGTGCTTCTCAGACTATGGGTGTGTATTCCTTGTGAGACATCAAATGCTAGCTCATATTGTGCTGAAAATGAAGAATGGTCTCTTGGGAGATTTTATGCAATTTGATTAAATTTTTGATAAAAACCCATTTGTCGATAGGAAGTAATGTAATTACTAGAAGCCTAAAATGCAGGGTGGAATTATGCAGCTCTGGCCTCTGCTAAGTTGGATGTTTCACTGAAAATGTGTGTAATTTACCGCTAACTGATGTCACATGGTATTGAATGTGTTTTTTAGTTCCACTATTCTTGAAGATACGGTAAGTAAACTGATTTGAGTTCTAATAAAAGTCTTTTTTGTTACATGTATAAACCATTAGTCTAATGACTGATGATTTAATTTTGCATAAGAAGTCAACTCTTTAAAAACACAGTTAATCTGCTAAGATACTCATAGTATCTTCAGTAAATTTGCAATGTAAAAAATAGTTTGTCAAAATCAATAGAAATTAGAGAGCTGTAATTAATCACAGAGTGCCAACAGTCCTATTTGTAAATATGCCTGAGTGGGACATGAATAATTAAGGCAATGCATAGCCAGTATGGAAATGAGCTGGCTGTGAGTGGTGTTGCTTCATATCTGTCACTATTAATCATTTAAACTCAAGACAAAATGCTGTGTTCATTCCACTTAAAGCGAGCTGCTTGAGCCATTACAGAAAATGCAATAGCAAATCCAATATAGTGGAGCCATAAAGTTTCCCCAGTCCTTAAAGCATGTGTCCTCAGCATTAATTTACTGTGGTGGTAATAAACAGATGCTAGTACTGAAGTGAGTGATGAGGTGATGACAAGCTCCCACAATCTCACCCCCCTTCCCCCTAGAACTGTGGTCATGTTCAAAACAATATGGTTCCCATGGAAACAGCCTCTAATTATGTGAAGGTGTAAAAGACATAAGGCCCTTTGTAGCCTTTCTAAAGACCTTTTGTGGTCTGCTTGAATAAAGGAAGTGCTTTTTCTCACACCTTATTTTTTCCCAAAGGAGAAGCCTATATATTAAAGATAGCCATTTCTTACTGTCTTAAAAAGGTGAAAACCAGATCTATTTAATTTTAAATGCTTTTTAGAGGTCCACAGTTATTCCTTACAGCATCCTAAATATTCACAACTGTACCTGTGGTAAAGGTATTCCCTGATTCACAGAGGATGAAAATACTTTATAAGAAGATGCAGCAGACATGACACAGCTGTCATATTTTGACCTTAAGAGATACTTTTGAAATACATCTGTACTGAGACAAAAACAATTTTACTTTATTACAGAAAAGAAAATGCCTACAGCTCCTTAAAACATAGTTAATTCCGAGAGAGAAATTATAGTTTGCAGTTCATTTGAAGGGGTGTCATATCTGTGCAGTCTGTTCCCTCAATACCTGACAATACCCTTGCCTATTTCATTAAGCCTTGTCCAATAAACAAGTTTGTTTATTTCCACTGATTTGTCAAGCTTTTTTAGTCAGAATGTCAGTGCTTGTTAAGGACTACACAAGAGAGGACTAAATGTGTATCCCGTATGCCTGCAGAATGAAGATGGAGGAGAATTAGTAGCTCTGTGGGAGTTTAACACATACAAAACATTCATGAAAAACAAATACAGAGCAGTACAAAGTACTGCTAACACACAGGATCATCAGTATAGCCAAGATGTACACACTTTGAGTAGGTGTTTACAGCTGCTGCAGAATACATGAAATATTAATGACTTCCTCTGGGAATAACTAATTGTCTTATTTTATTAATAATAAACACATAATTTGAGTCATTATACTGTATAGTGCATTTTGTGCAAAGCAACCAACCCCAAGTGGGCAATCATTTTACCAGTATATATTACATCTATATTACGCAAAACTGACTCTTGTGAGCTTGTAGCCATATTGGAACATTGTTATCTCATCAAAAACATACCTGGAGTTGTGATTTGTTTCATTCACACATGAGCAACCATTTATTATTAGTCTGTTTACATCTCCAAAGCTGAAAATGCTCTGCTCCACATTGTGATGTCAGGAAGTGCTAGTTTTTAAGTTAACAGCTACATTTTACCCTTTATTCTGTAGATATTGGCAATTCTGGGGCTGAAATTATCCAAATGTTTCTAGTAAAAGTGGATGGCATTTAAAAACAGTGGAGCACTTCCTGTATTGCCACATGACATTACAAGGTGGAACAATGTGTTTTCTGTTTGAGAGAAGAACTCAGCCTAAATGTACAGGATTTGAGTGATAAATGTGTGTGAATGAAACAAAACACAACTTCAGGTATGTTAAATAGTGCAATATGGGCTCTTGAAATAAACCTGAATATCACTGGAAAATTCTGCAACAAATTCTTACATGACACACTGGTAAGATAATATAAATAATAAAATTCCTCAGCTGGTGAACTGATACCATAAAAAGTATTGTGCAATTTTGTCTGAAAATGACTCTTATCTTTATGAAGAACACTAGGGTTTGCTAAGACAGATCTACTCCTTCAGGGAACTTTTACAGAAAACCAGATCGCAATATTTGTTCAACTGTGAGCTAAAGGTTAATGAGAAAGTAAGACAGTGCACTCCCCAAAGGATTGCGGTAGTTTCTATGTGCTTCTTCTTCTGACGGAGAAGGCCAAAATGTCAAAACACACATCATCCTCTTCAAGACTGTGGATAAAACTAGCCTTATTCCCCAGATTTCAAGTAAAAATGTAAGCCTGTTCTCCTTTTTCTTCTGCTCTGCTGGTTGTATTACATTTCTTCTTTAAATTATCTGCCACCAAAAAGCCAAGATCCAATATTCTACAGCACTTCCAGTCAAGCCATCTGAGGCACACGTCAAAAATAAACACATGAAGTAGAATTCTGTTGTGCAATTTAAAATTTTCATGCTGCAACCCACTTGAGACATTGTACTCCACTGTCTAAGGGAAACCTCAGAAATGAATCCAAAAATTCTTCCTCCCGGGATGGGCTTGGGTTCCGTGCCGAACCTGTGTGCCCAGTGTGTTGGCCGCGGGGACTGGTCTCATCATTAACTCGTGTGGTCTCAGAACCAGGCTGGAGATGTGCTGCCAGGCCTCCTCCAGGGACCTCACCACTGGAATATGGCCAAAGACATAGATGGTGGATGGCCTCCTTGGACCAGCAGGCTTTGTCACAAGAATTGATGCAAGGTCTGGAAAGTCCCCTTAGCGCTATGGCCAACTTGTCTGGCAGATAAAAGATAGTGCGAAAAAAAACTCCTATGGCACCATAAGCCAGTGTACACTTTGTGCCAATTCCAAATCCAAATGAAGGATCCGTCAGAAAATATGCACGTTTTTTTGTGTCCTCCATCTGTTTTTACATTGCTGGTAGGTAATTATATAGAACTATAATACACCTTTGAAAGTAAGGGTTAAAATAAAATAAAAAAAAGAAAAAAAGAAAGATGATTAGTTTTATTGCTTTTACTACTACTACTACTACTACAAAAAAAAAGTGCAGTAGCTACATAGCATTCTAAAATAATACATTAAACGGCCTATGTTTCGCTATTTTCTGATCTATGCAATAATATATCAGAAACATACTTGGAGTTCTGTTTTGTTTCATTCACACATGTTTAACACAAACCCTGAATATTTAGTTTGAGTTCTTCTTTCAAACTAAAAACACTCATGTGGTAATGCAGGAAGCACTCTACAGTGTTTTTAAACTCCATACACCTTCACAAGAACCATTTTGATCATTTTCCTGCCAGTCTTTACAGAACAAAAAGGTATAAGGTAGCTGTCAACTTGAAAACTACCGCTTCATGACATCACGAGAGCATTTTGAGCTTAGGAGATGTAGACATACTAATTATCAAGAATTACTCAAACATATGTGACCGTAACAAAACACAACTCTAGGTATGTTTAACTTTCTAACATGGTTTCAAACAAATACATTTTGTTTAACATACGACTTTTACAATTTAATTCAAAATACAATGATTTTTTTTCTGCCCTTAATAATCAATAAAAAATAAAAGAAAGAAATGAAAAAGAAGCAAAATAGGGCTGTTACCTGAAGCTACTTAAGCATGAATGGAAACAAATAGGTCCTTCATTGGCAGTGAATGTGTTGCACACAGGCAAACAAACAAACAGGGCACCATTATTTCTGGAGCCATCAGACGCCCTTGATGCATACTTGTTGGAAGAGCAGCACACACTGCAGCTCTTTGATAACACTTCAGTACCAACCTGTGCCAGCTCACACACAAACACGCCTCTCTTTTCTCACTCAGACAGATGACAACTTTTCATTTTTAGAGCTTTTATATGAATACTTCATGGATTTGTGTCTCCATCTATACAGTGGCAGCTATTTCCAGAAATATTTAAAACTCTTTCAAGTGGTGGCAGGTAGGAACTTTGCATATTTTCTATTCGCTTTCCAGCTAAGGCTGACATCACGACACACATTGGCAGCGAGGCTCTTAAGCTGCCTTTCCAGGAGGTGGTGACAAGACGTGTGCACTGACCTATCAAGACGAACCCCCCCTCCGACGGCAGAATGGAGCACAGGAGTGAGCCAGAGTGCTTTGGGCATGTGCAAAGCTCAGCACTAAGTCTACACGATGGACACCAACAACGCAACCATAAGTGCAAATACTATATCATGGATAAAATTGTTTTAGTTCAGTCTCCAAGTGTCAAGGTATGGCAAGAAATAGCACACTGTTTAGCTATATTATTGGGTTGAGGATTTAATGTAAAACAGGTTTTGAAATTGTCTTCTTTAGTTCATTTTTAGTATCTTTTACACATCATAAGGGTGATACTAGCTCTGATGTGCTCTTGTAAATTCTTGAGAAAATGAGTAGTTGAAGAAATTATTAATCATGTGGTAAATTCTCTGTGTGTTTTAACAAGGCATGACTAAATATGGTGTCACCTCACATTTTTCATCAAAAGTTCTAAATGGCCAGACTTAAAGCAGAATTAGCATAGCTTCCAAATGACACAGCTGGGAAAATGTCGTGTGATTCTGTAGAATGATCAAAAGCAGGAAAACCTGGTCCCTTGTGGAAAAAGGTTTGACATTTGAAGAACAGGGCAACAGTTGGATTGAGCACCATGGAGAGATGCCCTGTGATACTTGGATGGTTATTACAGGACATAGTTTGGACATTATTATGATACAAAAACAGGTTTGGCCATACAAACAGAACTATCACAACTAACCTACTCTAATATTATGAGAAGGCTCTGTCAGTTCTTTTGTGTTGGCTTAACATTGTTTAGGTTTAGTCTGACTGCACCAGACTTTATAATAAATAGTGACTTCATTTTGGTTTTCTTATCTTTTCCATGCGAAGGCTGCAGTTAGATGTCACACTCACCTCTCCCTAGGCATCTGGTGGTTAGGGTTGTGGTGACAGCGGATGCTCAGACTAAACAGCTTGCGGGCAGTTCGGTGGATTTTGAGCCTCTGGATCTCCAGGGAGCTCTGAAGTAGCCTGTAGCGAGCCTGCAGGTCCCAGTCACTGCCCCAGAGCAGATGCACGCTGCTGATGGGCAGGAAGTGAGTGGAGGGCATCCTCTTCAGAAAGGACTTGAACTCATCTGTGTCACATGTGACAAGGGACAGGGAGTAAAAGACCACAGAAACACTTCATTAAAATATATAGGTTGTACTTTCAAGGGCAAATCTGTTCTGTATAATTCAATTCAAACTGTGCTTTTCAGGTTTAGTTTGTCTTTGATCACCAGCCTTTTCTTTCCAATAAGAATTACATGGGTATGCTCTCTCATATTCTTCTGCAGTATATGTTCAAATACACACTATATATGCTTCAAATTAATTTACTTGAAAAAAATATTCTCTTGTTGTTATGTATTGCAATCACTTACAGGGACCGTGAAGAAGTGATTGTGTGTATTCACTTTAATGTCAGTGGTCAGAGAGAATATGAACTGCATTACAATAGTGAGATGCAATGCTCCAAGTATGCCGTTTTATTCATGTTGGGTCATGATCATGATTATAATAAAATATTTCTAAAGAATAAAATAGCCTTTGTTGTTACGAAAGCATGTGCGACCTTGTAAAAACAAAAGTATGCACCACAGCAGAGTTCTTTTCTAGCCATAGCAAAGAAATGTCAGAAATGTTTCCATCTCCTCCACAACATGTCAGACCCTTCCCCTTTTTATTCTGCTTCAAAGGAGCCAGATTCTATCTCCTCCTCGTGTTTAGAATTGAAGAGATTCTCCCCACCCCGGATTTCACAGATGGCAGTTTAAACCTTCCTGCTGTTTTATCGCAGCATCCTTTGCAAAAATGTGTCCCTCATAATCACTGATCATCGTGGTCTTTTAAAAGATCTGCTGTTCTTTTTCTAATGCAGCTTAAAGTCCAGCTAGCCCCTTAAATAAGCCTTATCTCATGTCACCTGAACACCTTATCTGGAGATTAGAGGCCTCACAGTGTAACCTGACTTTTCAACATGGGCCTGTGCTGTAGAGATGAGCTTGCTTTGTTTCATCAGAGCTGTGTGTACAGCAGTGTTTTAACTAGTTAGCATTAGGAAAACCAGGTTCAAACCAGAGACGTGTTAAGAAACGGCTGAAGACTGACATGGAAGTACATTTGACAGTGACAGTGTTACTGCAAGTCATACCAAGAGAACTAGACAAGGGACAAATCCTTCTTTAAAATGTTGAATTCATTGCGAGTGTTATCAAAACTCACCAGAGTTTTCAAAGTCTTTGTATGAAGAGGCCCAAGTCTCAGACATGGCCACCAGGGTGTTCTCCATTATCTTGATGTCGGTTATGGGACAGTTGCATTGTGGGTACTCATCCGTACACTGGCAGATACACTGGTTGTTCCGGCACAGGTACTCGCCCTCACCATTGCACATGATGTAGCTCAGAGCGGACTGGACAAACTTCTCCTGTAGGTAGTCTGGGAAAATCACCTGGAGTCCTGAAAGAATGCAAAAGAGAATTAATCCTGTTGTTTAAAAAGAAAAAACTTGCCATTTCTTATCCACAAGCTTTCAACACCCAGTGCCCTATTTTGGACTATGAGTGAAAAAAAGTCCAGTTTGGACTCTAATGTTGCATCATGACAAGAAATGTTTTGTTTTGTTTTTTTATCTTTTTTTGCTCAATGTTCAAAAACTAAATCCTTTGTCTTATGTCTTCTGTCAGTAGCATTATGAGAGATGTCCTAGTCATCCATCAGCATTCATAACAAGAAAGCTGCGGCTCTGCTGCTCTCATGTCAAATTCAGTGGTATTGCTCTGTCACTATCTGACACTTTCACAATAAGACTTGTTCTGCAGGGGGAATAAACAGAGACCTTTATTGTGGAAGAGCCGCGGGAAGTGTACACTTATAATCAGTGGAACGTAAAGAAGTTTTACTACATTGTATTGGATATTTTCACCAGCATGAGTGGACAGTGTATTTTGTGAAAGGTCCGTGTTATAATTTTAACATTGAAGCATGACACAAGAAGGTTTTGGGGACTAAGGACTGCAGTGCTCAGATCCTCCTCTCCTCTGCGTGCCCAAGATAAACACACACACCACAACTCAACGGTACAATGGCACCCACATGACACCTACAACTATGACATCACTTTACACCCCTTGGGCCCCTTGTGAATGTTGTGATATGGTTTTCATTTCTTGTAAGGTACCACCATATTATATTAAGTAGTTGTATTGTTAATGTACTCCTTATAGTCACAGACACAAATTGGATAATAGAGTGTGCTATAAGTAGCTGGCTGGTGGGAAAAGTATACTTTGGAGGAGAAATTATGTCTTTTGGCCTACCGGGCAATCCATATCTCACACGGGGCATTGCATAGAATTGAAGATTGGATGGCTAACATTATGGCCCTTTTTTCAGTCCAGGCCCGCAGAATAAACCCGAGCTCCACAAGCCACTGGATTGGAAAAGAACTAAATAGATTTTTCCTTCTTGTATGAAACAGTGTCTTGGTGAGGCAATATTTTCTTAATAGCTTTTACTGGAGCGCAAATGGTGCTTCAGCAGAAAATATGCAGCCACAAACCAGAACAGAACATGTTATTGAATGATGAATGATTGCATTATTTCTCCACTTATTATTTTCAGCCAAAGGTGAAAACAGGAAACCATTTACGCAAAAATCAACATAATGTAGCCAAAATAAAAGCTTAAGTAAGCATAGAATTTGCACAAGTAATTCTAATTTTGAAGCACTTCCACAGAAACTTGATGACTGCATACAGTGTGTAATTATGATAATATGAGTACATGGTTTCTTAACTTAAATATTAAAAGAAGTCATAGTCCTTTCATTTTGCTGTTGTTGAACTCAAGATGCAAAGGGCGCGCTCTCCTCACCAAATTGGTCCATGTACCATTTGTTCTTTTGAATTTCAATTAAGAATGAAAAACAATAAAATGGGGAAACAGTTTGTTATTTCATTATTCTGTTTTAATGTAAAAACAAAACAAAAAAAAAACTGATTTTGACCTCTGTTTCCAATATTTAAGTTTTTTTTTTTCAAAAAACAGTCATTGTGCCTATTTCACTTTTGATATTTTATTCTTTCTGGTTTATATGCCCCAGAAGTCATGCTGCTACGCTGCCTAGTGTGTATTTTTAAGTTTTTAGATGCTTGTCTGTATCAGTGGAAGTTATCGGCCACCATGGCTGCCATCGAGATCCATGCTATAAATACATCAAATGGGTGAAAGACACACAGGGAAATTTTCGCCCCATTGAAGCAAAATGGAATTAAGATGTACTCAGAAATGAGTATTTGAAGATTTTGTGAAAAACACAATCTAAGACACAATTGATTGGTTACTGATGCAGAGTTGGCTCATTTTGTGGACAAACATATCTCTTTTTTTATAGCAACGCATTTACTTTTGCATCCTAGAAAGTAGCTGTTGAACTCCATGATGAGAAACAGGTAGCAGCGAGGCGATAAACTCTCCTTTGTTCAGTGAACACTGCATTCACACCTGGCACGCTAAGCATAACTTCTGGGGGAAATATAAACCAGAGAGAATAAAAGATCAAAATTGAAAAAGGCATGATCACTGTTTTTTGATTGGTGTTATTTGAAATGAACTTTAAATAAAATATTGTAAATAGAGGTTGAAATCAGTTTTTTTTTTTTTTGTTTGACACTAAAACGAAATGATATAACAAACTGTTTTCCCATTTTATTGTTTTTCATTCTTAATTGAAATTCAAAAGAACAAATGGTACACAGACCCAAATTCCTTTTTCCTCAATTATATTTTAATAGGTATCAACTGTTGCATTATTAGGCCTACAATAAGTTGCTTTGTTCATTTTAATATTGCATATTTTAGTGAGCTATCAATGATTCCGTCAATGACTCTTAATTTTCCGTCTCTACAATCAGCAGTTGGACTGGGAATCACAGGGTCCCTCATGATTCGATACGATACACAGCTCACGATACAATATCATCACAATATGTCCGTAAGCGCAATACTTAATATATTGAGCATGATATTCTGTCATACATTGCTGTTTTTAACACAAAAGCTCTCCATTACTCGTGCAAAGAAATGCATCTATTTTAATAATCAAAACAGTGAACATGCCTGTGTATTGCATAAACAAGTTTCTTTCCTCTAAATAAGCAATACATTATAGTGTGGTTACAACATTTTTTAAAAAGATACCAAAAAATACTCTTAGCAATAAACTGATACAGCAGCCTACAATAACAATACTGTATCATCAAATTTACTATCACGGTATATTGAAATTCAGACATTTTTGCTCACACTTAAAGCAGTGTTTTGTTTGTTTTTTTATAAACCAACTTACCCCAGGATCTGCTTATTCTTCTTGGACCCTAATAGACTGCTGTACATTTGGGAGTTTGGAGTCATGTAAGCATCTATTTGATGGGCACCATTTACACCACCCTTGCACTGTTACATTATAGCCCCCCAGAACCATAGTCTAAATAATGATGCCATTCCCAGCATAGACATTCACTCCCCAGCTCATCAATAGCACGGCCAGTGTAGCAGGGTGCAGGCAGAAGGAGCCCGGAGAGAGTTTCTATGGATCATATCTGACCACAGACAAGATGTGTGCACAGGGCTCTCTCTCCATCAGGCCTGTCTGCGACCCCAGGATACAATATTCATTTAGCCTGATGTATTCCTGGGCCTGAAACTTTAATGTGATTTGTGGGAGAATCCAGATGGCAAGTTCACGGATCAACGCTGCTCACTGACAGAGACTGTGCCAGCGGCCGGGTGCACAATAACAGCCCTCCTCCCTCCTGCACTGGATACCTCATATTCCTAATAACACTGCATACCAACATGCACACACACTTGTTGTTAGGATAGCAACATGGACAAAATACTAAAAACAAAGACAAAAATAAAATGTAACCAGTGCCTTACTACTATTTAGCTTATCAGGTAGGAGGATTCGCTGTTTTTGAAAGAAATATCAAACCATATGTTATTATCTATATGCTTATCTAATAGGAAGGTAATTTAAGAATAGCTTCTTTGGAGCACAATTGGCACACACATTTTCTGACACTGTTGTGGAAGAAAAAAATCACCTTAGTTAATTTGTACTGACAGAGAAGACATTGAACTTGGAGGCAGTTTTTTAATTAATTTTTATTTTTTTATTTTTAATATTATTATTATTTAATTTTTCCATGTATATTAGCCCATTACTGAGATTTTAACCATCAGCCAAGTCAGCAAATTTGCATCCGGGTGGTCAAACAGCAAATTCCAACATAAAATTCTGACCTTCATTTTTTTTTTTTTTTTTATCATAATTTTTTCTTCCTCAGCTGTTAACCTTTTTTACATAACCCTGCAGACACCAAACTCAAATGTAAGCTGCCCTATCTTCTAATCACTCAATCCATCATACTTTCTATTTTGTTTATAGAGGTGGTTTAGAATGGCAGAGAGAGGAAATGGTGATGACAATAATTAGGACAGAAGCACCAGTCTATTTTGTGGGGAGGGCGGCAGATGTTGGGAACAGGACTGGAATTGGAATAGGGAGGTACCGTGTGATCATTAAGGAGTTCTGATGAAAATAGAGCATATTGGAATTCTTGTGCAGCTGTTTGATACCCTCCAACTTCATGCTCTGTCAGTGCACATAATTCCCTGCAACCCCACATTCTGGGCCGGCTCTAAATAAATAACTGAGAATGGCACTTAATCTCATACCACACATCAGCTGCAAATGTATTTCATACCCTTGCACTGGGGAACACAGGCATTTAAACACAGAGTGAATACTAAAAGATGGAAAGTGTTGCTGTTGCTTTGGCCTTTTTATGAGGTCCCCTCCAGAAGGGCTGGCTTTACGTTGTGATAGATGGTGGCTAGAGACCACAACTGAGGCTTGTAAATGCTTTGGCCAGCACTTGCCTGCTTATTGCAGTGCCACGCTCCGCCTCATAAGTTGCACTTTCATTAAAGATTAATTGACCATTGTGTGGCCACAATTTCGCAAAATAATCATTACTTAATCCATCGGTGCAATAAAGTGTGTTACTTGAATGGGAGTATTAAATTACCAGTGAAGACCTTTGAACTGGAAGATTACTCCATTCTCTTTAGTCCAAACCTGCCTGGTCTAATCCCCGGTATATGTTTAAAACTGATGGGCTGCACAGCTGATGGGCCGCAACAGTTACTGCAGCTGCCTTAGGGGCTCTTTGTCGACAACCGAGTGGAAAAACTGTAGCCAAGATAGCTATCTGGTCACAATTCTTTTTTTTTTTTTCGCATAAAACTCTTCTCTAACAAATCTGTGGAATGACAAGGGAGGCCATCTTCTCTTTTTTCATGGATTCATTTTTGGCAACTGTCCATTGTCTCTAAGTACATAGTTTTGTTATAGACAATGGAGTTTCAACTGAACAAAAGCTCAATGACAC